TGCCGGCTGGGCTCGGCCAGCCACTCACGCGTCGTACTTCTTGCCAGTCCGGTGGATGTGCTGGAAGAGAGTCATGGAGAAGGCCATGCCCAGGATCTGAAAGACACGGGAAGGGGTCTCAGCCGGACGTGCCAGCCACCTGGGAACACACACATCCAGGGGATGTCACAGGCCGCCAGGGGCGGGGGCGGGAGGGCACTGGAGTGCCAGGGACATGCACAAGCAATCTCCCCAGTGACACGCAGGTGAACGCGGGCCCAGCCCCTCAGAGCTGTCTGTACAGACGCCATGGAACCCCCTCCAACCTCGCGGACATGCCCATTTCAGAGGGTGGCCGTGACAACTGAGTACGTGACCCTAAACAGGAGCCCGGTCCTGGTATGCGTGGCACACTGCCTTTGGCCACGGTGGACCTGCCACGTGGATGAAGCTGTGCCTGGGCAACAGCAACACCTGCCTGCACCCCGACTCCTGACCCTGGAGCGGGCACCAGAAGGGCAGGAGGCAAAGAAGCCGCATGTGGCCTCACAGTGCCAAGCAGCGCCGCGTGTGCGCGGGGTCACTCCCTGGCTGCTCCTGAGGATCCAGGTTTGGGTGCAAGAGGACACTGGGGCAGTGACCCTGGCTCCAGAACTCTGGTCTGGGCCCGGCCAGGCCGCCCTGAGACAAGCCCCTCTGAGCCACCGAGTCGCCTCTCGAGCACCCTGAGGGCACCTCACATCAGAGCTCTGCCAACATGGCAGCGGGCTCGATGCTGAGACGGAAGCTCTTAGAGGAATCCCGGACATGGCCAGGACCCAGCAAGGCATGTGGGCCCTCCCCCACAGCAGGGGGCGACCGGCACACCCCGGGGCACCCCGTACCTGCATGATGAGCACGCACATTCCCACAGCAGGGGCGACCTGCACGCCCCGGGGCACCCCCGTACCTGCATGATGAGCACGCACATTCCCACAGCAGGGGCGACCTGCACGCCCCGGTGCACATCCCTACAGCAGGGGCGACCTGCACGCTCCGGGGCACCCCGTACCTGCATGATGAGCGCGCACATCCCCACAGCAGGGGCGACCTGCACGCCCCGGGGCACCCCCGCACCTGCATGATGAGCGCGCACATCCCCACAGCAGGGGCGACCTGCACGCCCCGGGGCACCCCCGTACCTGCATGATGAGCACGCACATCCCACAGCAGGGGCGACCTGCACGCCCCGGGGCACCCCCGTACCTGCATGATGAGCACGCACATCCCACAGCAGGGGCGACCTGCACGCCCCGGGGCACCCCCGTACCTGCATGATGAGCACGCACATCCCACAGCAGGGGCGACCTGCACGCCCCGGGGCACCCCCGTACCTGCATGATGAGCACGCACATCCCACAGCAGGGGCGACCTGCACGCCCCGGGCACCCCGTACCTGCATGATGAGCACGCACATCCCCACGGTGCCGAGCACGTGCTTGTTGTCGTCAAACCACATCTTCACCTTCTCGTAGCAGCCCTGGAGAGGGGACGGACACTGTCCTGGCAGCCCACGCGCTGCCCCATCCGGCCCCCAGGCTGTCCCGTCAGCCCTGGTGGCCGTGCCCTTCCCACCCGGCCCCTGGCCCTCCTCCCTTTGAGCAGGCCCTGCCCACCCTAGGGTCCACCCACACAGGCTGCAGAGTCTCAGCCTCCACCTAGCCCTGCTCAGACTAAACCTGGTCCTGCATGCCCCGCCCTCCCCACACATAGCCAGTTCCTCGGTTCCTCGGCCTCCCGTGCCCGCCCTCCCCTGGGGCCTCCTCTCGCCAGGCCGTCAAGCTCCTGGCCAGGGCGCCCGGCCTCACCGTCGTCCACAAGGGGGTGGTGGCATTGTGCCCGCAGCCCTGGGAGTTCTCCATGCAGCAGCGGTCGGGCACCGTGTTCTCCCCCAGCACGGGATACCAGTCGGTGTGGTCAGTGACGCCGCAACACCGCATCTGCCGGGGCGGGAAGGCCCATCAGGCACCCACCCAGGCCACCCCAGCCCACAGAAGCCGTCACCTTGGAGGTCAGGGAAGAGGCACAGGGCTCTCCTCTGGCTCCCTTTTTTTTCTGCACCAGCTTTCCACAGGGAAAGTGAGTGGCCGCTCCTTCCTGGACACCAGAGCACAGAGAGGCCGTGTGCTCAGGACTGGGCACCAAGTGGGCAGCAGAGCTCGCCCTCAGGTCACCACCGGCACGTCCCAGCTGGTGCCAGCTGACCACCTGCTGCCCCACTCCAGGGCTGAACACGGACCCCCGGCACTGCCCTGCTGTCCTCCTAGAACAGGGCCCCCTCGCCCAAGCAGGCCAGCCCCCTGCTGGAACCACGCTCTCTCCATCCCCATGGAGCGACTGGCCAGAGCTGCTGCAGGCTGTCCATGCCTGCTTGGGCCTCGCGGGCCTCCTCCCCTCACCTCCTCGTCCCCCTCCGCTGCACCCCGTGTCCTGCTGACCCAGCAGGACTGGCCCCCCCGCAGAACCCACTCAGCCACGGCAGGGCCTCCCCGGCGTGCCCGACCTCGGCCTGGATGATGTTCCAGGCGTTCCTGAGCCCCACGTTGTCCTCGGTGTTGTAGAGCAGCAGGCCGTCCTTCAGGTCCTTCTTGGCGTTCTCATTCACCTGGCAGGCAGAGGGCACTCGGGTTGGCCGGGCAGGGCCTGGACAGGCTGCTCTCCCCGGCCCACCCCAGGCCACCAGGACCACTAGGGACGCTTTTCCAGATGGCTGAGGGGAGGCAGCTGGTCTGCAGGCCTCACCCCTCTGGGGGCTCTGTCGGCCCAGTGGGCTAGAGAGGGGTGCCCCCACTCCAGCCTCGCTCTGCAGTGGGCCTATTGGGGGCGAGGGGTGGGGTAGAGAAGCAGCAGCAGACAGCTTACCTCCAGCACCCGGGCCAGCACTGGGGGCCACAAGCCACTCTGCCCCCACCCCAGCACACACCCACCCTCCCAGCACACCCTGGGAAGGAGAGAGGCCGGTCAGTTGTCAGTTAGGCCATGGAGCCTCCTCTCCCGAGCAACGGGCTTGCCCTCTCTGCCTCTGCTTTCTCAGTTATTCTAGAACAACGGTACCTGCCGTGGGGGTGTCGGGAATAAAGGAAACAGTCCTTAGAAAGGGCTGACGCCTTGTCCTGCCGCCGCTGACTTGGAGCAGCCGGCCGCCCCCGGGGGAAGGCACAGCAGGCGTGTTTGCGGTGCTGCTAAGCTCTTCTCTGCAGTACTAGGGGTCCCCAACCCACGAGCGCTCGCAGCTCGGCGAGGTCGCCAGGGGTGGCCGCCCCCCCCCCCCCCCGGTCCCAGACCTCCAGGAGAGGACACATGGCTGCCTGACCTGCCGGCCCCACTTGGCCAGGTCACCTGGAGAGCGCCTCGTGTCTGCTGGGCTTCCCTCCGTGCACCCAAGCCTGCTGCTTGGGGCTGAGCCCCTTCTCCGGGAAGTCACACACCACTATGCTCGAATACGTCCAGCGATGGGGCACTCGCCCTACCGGTACCGGGGCAGGCAGCACCCAGGCGTGGCTCAGGAGGCCCGCGTCCTAAGGCCATGCAAAGCCCTGACCTCCCCCGCCCTCGGGCCGTCCCCACTCTTCACAGGGCCTGTTTGCAGAGCCCTTCCTCTGGCCAGGGAAGGGTCTAGCTAGTGCCAGCCCAAGGGTGGGCAGTGGACGCCATCCAGCCCCGCCTGCTGTGGGCGCACCTTGTCCATGTAGACAAAGAAGAGGATGAGCAGGATGAGCTCTGCCAGGAGGATGGTCAACAAGACGACGAAAAACTGCAAGAAACGTCCAGGCATGGGCACGCGGTCGCGGAGGCCGGGACGGGCTGCCAGCCGGGAGGGAGGGAGCGGGGCTGCTCCGGTCCGGAGGGCCCTGGCTCTGGGGAAGGGAGACAGAGCAGGCCACCAACCCAGCAGCGGGGACACAGGGCCAGGGAGGAGCAACCATGAGGAAGAAGGGTGTGTGGGCAGGCATGGAACATTCCAGAAGTGGCCCATGTGGGAGGTGGGACCTGGACGTCCACTCACACTGAGGAGGAGGCACTTGTTTTCCTTGATGGCCCCCAGGCAGCCGAGGAAGCCCGTCACCATGACGATGGTGCCGATGGCGATGACGAGGTTGGCTGCAGACAGCGAGGGGAAGCTGGGGGAGAAGGTGGCGAAGTTGCCCTGCGACACGGAGAGCCAGATGCCCACGCCGAGCAGCCCGCAGCCACAGAGCTGGAGAGAGAGGAGAGCCGTCAGGCCACGCCGCCCGGCACGTCCCACCCCTGACTCAGACTCGAGAACGGCGAGGCCCGGGCCGCGGCTCAGGTACCGTCACGGTCCCGGACCCAGGAATGTCAGCAGGGACACATTCCAGCGCCTCTCTGTCCTCGGCCTCCCCGTCTGGAAAGGGCCCGACCCCAGCTTCGCACACCCCGCAGGCCCCTCTGAGGAGCACAGGCAGGACACCGGCCAGGGTGTGTCTCAGGCGTGTCGCAGGTGCTGGACACACGAGCGGCTGAGCGTGTTGCTCAGAGGAGGGTCCAGGCTCCCGGAAGGAGGCTGGGGCGAGGGGAGGCCTGGGCTTGGGGGACGCAGGTCGGCCTTGGCTCTGGGGAGCCATCTCAGAGTCTCAGAGCCAGAACTCGCCGCAGCCGTGTCCTGCTTCCCCAAGCAAGGGGGCCTGAGCCACACCTTCCCCGCAGGTGGGATGGAAAGCACCAGGGCTGGCTGGGATCTGGGCCAACACGGGGTCCAGGCTGCTCCGCCAGCCACTAACCAGGCCGGCCCCCGCCTGATCCCTCAAACCCCACGGCCTCACGGCGCCCCTGGGCTGCCAGCCCACCCACGGCAACTTCTGTTCCACGGCTGCAAGTCTCCACACGGCCTCGTTTTATGCTCGATAAAGCTGACACCCCCGCCCCGACACCCCGCCAGCTCAGGGGGAGTCTGCTGAGTCCAAGGAGCCGATCAGTCCGTCAGCCAAAGTTCACTGAGCCCTGACAGCACTGCATCCCAGCAGGAGGCGGCCCCTGTGGGGAGCAGCCTTCCAGGGCCTGCCTCTGGCTGTCAGGGCGGCAGGAAGACAGCACGGCCACCCCAGGCAGGGCACGCTGGGCCAGGGAGGAGCTCCAGCTCAGAGGTGGCGGTCAGTGCCCCAGTTGGCGATGCCAGCGGGAGAATGCAGTCCCCAGACGGTGGGCGGACTGGGCCAGGTGGGGGACAAGGACGTTCCACACAGGGTGGAAGGGCCTGTGTGTCCTGGTTGCAAACCCCTCTCAGGCAGGATGGGAAGACTGGATTGCGGGGAGACTGTCCGTGGAGTCACATGTGAAGCAGGAGGCCACCCCCAGGCCCTGCCCGCTGGGCGCTGCTTACTGAGCAGGTACTGCGTGTCAGAGCAGGGCCCAGCACGGCCCGGCTCAGAGCGCCCAGCACGGCCCGGCTCAGAGCGCCCAGCACGGCCCGGCTCTCGACGTGGCCTCCGCGCTGGGCTCCGACGCGGC